CAGAGGAGGTTGTCGCGTCCGTAGACGGAGTGAAAAAGAGGGTTCGGAGGACCGTGAAAAAGAGAAGGAGAAAACGAGAAAAAAATAACTAAAAAGAAAGAAAGAGGATCATCTCGGGGACAGAACCCAAGGTAACTAGGCGTACCGCGTACCTAGGCATCCCACCACGAGAAGAAGAAAGGAAAATACTGAGACGATGATATAGACAGGAGAGCAAACAACGAATAATAATAACTAAAGGGCAAAGAGGAAAATAAACTTCCCAGGGAAAACCGTCCTGGGGAAATGAGCTTCCCAGGGAAAACCGTCCTGGGGCAAATAGGGGAATGTGCGTCCCTAGGGTCTTCTCAGGGTATGTGCTTCCTGAGGAAAATGGAAATCATACCACGGAAAAGCGTCGTGGCGAAAAGATACCTACAATGAGAAGTGACGTCGAGCGTACCGCGGGAGAGACGAGATCTGCTGCGCCGGCTGGAAGCTGAGTGCTGGCCCACTCGTCCACGGGCTGCGGTCCGGCCACCGCGAGGCATGGTTGCGCAGAAAAGCTGCGCCGATGTCGGCGCGCGCACTGCGAAAAGCTAAGGCGGCGCGGGTGACAACGCGGGGAGAGAGGAGAAGGTGGGCAGCGCGGTAGAAATAACGGGAAGAATGAACTGAAAATATATCCACTAAAAATGACAAATAAAACTATCCTTTGGGTCTGAAAACCCAACAGAGGTGGATGCAATGTGCCGTACACCACCATGTATTCGGCGAGTTGCTCAAGAGGGGCCTTCGGGGTAAGCCTTGATACACATTAGAGCACGTAATAATCATGGTTCGTACATGCTTTTTGAAATGAGCTTGGATTCTCCCGAAAAAAGCCAGTCGAAGGTCGATGATAAGGAGATGCTTTCTTATATCTCCTCCAACTGTGCCTCTCCTCTCCCTAAATATTAAGCATTATAGCCCTTTTACAATGGATTGCTCATACTGCTGAATTAAACCACTTCATAAATCGAATCCATCCAGCTGTAATTGCACTCCAGAAAACCGAATTTAAGTCCTCCCATACACCCTTTATCAAAAACTATGTGAAAATGCTCTGGTTCACTGATTGCTCTGGCTAGATGCTGGCTAGATGAATGACTAGGTGCTGCCGTTGTTAACGAGTTTCCAGCGACTGACAAATCGGTGCAGCTCAACAAGAGGTGAAGTCATGGCGTTAGTCGTTTGTGAATGAAGAGAGGAAAATTACATAGATTTGATGGTATTCTTTTAATAATTTTTAATGCCAGTAATCCACACAGAGTGTGCAAAAACTTAATTGCAGGAACAAGTTCAAAAACACTGACTCCGCGAGATAAACTAATCGCGCCGAGCATAGTGCGGTCGGCGCGAAGAGCATATTGGCGCCTACGAGACTGCGGGAATACTTCACGCATTGCGCCAAACGCCGGCCGTGCGGCCGCGGCCGGCCGGCAGCGCGGAGCGCATACCAGCGCCTACAAGACTGGAAGAATACTTCACGCATTGCGCGCTCTGTCCATCGCGCGCTTTAATCGTTGTGAAAATTCGTATTTTTTCGTTGCCATTCTGGGACCTACCAAAGCGGCGCACACCATTTCCGACCAGCGCACATGCGCGCCTAAAATCCTAGGATCAAGGGTTCGTGGAGATTTTGTACCTCTGAATGGTATGTATAGTCTTTTGAGTAATTGATGTTAGGGTTTGTCCGTCTTTTCCTGCTCATTGGCGGATCCAGCAAATTGGCAACATTTCCTTTCCTCCATTTAAACCCATGGAAATGTATCGATTTTTGGAGGGGTCAGGTGCCCCGACAAGAATCGATTATTTACATATTTAGCATGGGGTTTAAATGGAAAAGATACGGTGTTGCCAAATTGCTGGATCCGTCTCTGTTTCTGATCGTCCACCATTATAACGAGAACCTCTCTATGGCGAGGAAATCGACCGATCTCTTGAGTTCTCGTTACAGAGAGAGATTACTGTACTGGAAAAACAAATAAAGAAAAAAATAACGCATGCCAGAGATCGCTCATCTCTTAAATTCGTGAGTATTTCACGGAAATTGCGAGTCTTTCTTCATCCACCGTATGCTCTTGATCTGGGCTCATTCACCCCACCTCAGAAACATGGTCTCGAAGCACACACATGATTAATACTCAAGCGGGAAACAAAGAAGCAAGCACGAAGTTGGGCGCGACTTGGCGCGAGGGTTGGCACACACGCAAAGGGATCAGAAAACAAAGGGAGACGGATTTAAGCCCCCGATCCAACCTGTTGAGTGTTGATTCTCATGACGGAGTTGCGGATGGGCGCAGTATGGAGGGGGCACCCGAACAAGGGAGGGGGGGGGGCAAAATGAGCAGCGAGAGGTGGAAGGAGAGTTGGACTTAAGTCGGAGGACGCTCTGACAGTTTTGAATAATTGAGGAACGCGGGAGAGAGGGGAAAGAGGCCTCCCGATAGTAAAACCACGTTTGCCTCGCTTCTGCAAAATATAAAATGGCGTACATTTTCTTCAAACGGACGTATTTATGCTAAAAGGAACTATGTGCGTAGGGTTTGCGCGAGACATAGTTCCTTTTAGCAAATAGGTCCAAATAGAGTTATGTAAAGTTAGAGTTACGACACGTGGGATACATTTTTGATTGGAGCCTTTCTCTCCGTCTCGGAATGGTTCCCATGGCGTTGCAAACGGTAAAAAATATTGCATTTCCACCGGGTACAAAGGTTTTAACATTGCATAAACGGCTCCAAGGAAGGGCGTATGTCCCCCCTCCCCTTCGCCAGCAAAAAAGAGGAAGAAAAAGAGAAGACAAAAAGAAGGAGGGAACGGAGGAAAAACGCTTACATTTGGTAATTATTCAAAATGAAATTGACTCAAACTGCAAATTTGATGCTTTAAAAATTATCTGGGCGAAGCCCTTGGACCCCTTTTTTGTCCCCTTTTTTGAAGATGTTTGGATCCGCATGTAGCATAATTCGGTATAACTGAGGGTATGGTCGGAAAAAAACAAAATAAAAATAGGAGGGGGGGGGCAGGGAAAGAATTCGCAAATGACTTGATCTAAAATTCCGAATAGAATGAGAAGCTGCGTATAATCTGTTTGACAGTTTGTGGTATTACGGCACGAGGTGTCTTAAAATTCCCTATTAAATAGCTATAATAAAAAAATGCACTACTCCACGTAGTGAAATGTATCTTCCTCAAGGAATGAATCAGCAAGAGGGAAATCCCATTTTTTTAAGTCGGCTAAAAGTTTCCAAAAATCCCCTAAAAAATAATAAACACCGTAGATAGTGTTTTCCCCCTCTCTCTTTCAAGAATGATGGTTGCTGTTCATATTTTAAAATTTTCTGACTCTACTCTGATTTAAAGATTACGCTTATCTCCTAATATTAGGGGTCAAGGGGTATTGGACTGCTTCTTATTTTACACCAATAAGTAAAATTAATGACTTTAATTAAAATCGGGTAGATATTACTTTTAGTTTTTCCCCTAATTTTTTAAGTTAACTTTCCATGACATGGCTATTTCTTCCTATAGAGCATGAATTAAGTTTAGGTTTTTGATTCTGGGAAAAGAGGTTTAGCTTTTGTAAAAACACGAAGTCCTACATTTTTTCCGCATTTACATTTTTACATTTACATTTTCCTACATTTTTTAGTAATTATTTAGTCCAATGAGAAAACATTGATAAAAAACACCATGCAACAGAGAAATAGTTCAGTAAAAAGAAGAAAAAATGAAAAAAAAGGAGGCATTGTTACGAATAAGTATCGCCATGTCATAGAGGGTTAAATCTCCCAGAAATCCAGAATACATCTTTATCGAAAGTATGATCTCTCAACTTCCAGGAATATGAAAAAAGGTTCCTTGCCTCGATGGATTATCTACCGCACGACCCTGTTCAAAAAAACATTTTAAGATTTGACTTCATCGATCGTGGTCCCGCAATAAAATAGCAATAAAGTTTTAAGGATGTTCCCCAAAGAAATCTTTTACCTGGCAACGTTGCTTACGCGTGTGGGTAAAACAAGGTTGAAAGTGGGGCGGCAGATTATGAGGCGTAGCTTTGACAATGAATTAAACGAGAAGGGGGCCACAGAGTTTGGTCGCATCTTGCAGTTTTAATGCGGTCACTTAGCTCCTATCATTCCTCATCCCGCAAAGTTTCAGGCCCCCAGCGAAGGGCGCTCTCCCACCCGCAGATGAGCCGGAGAGCGTGGCCTCAGCCTCGCGCCGGAGATCGCCCGAAAAGCTCACCTCTCTAAGACTCATCCATTAACTATGCATGATCTTTTATGAAAAAGTTACCGACCTAGTTATAAAACGTTCATTCACGTTTTCGTTTGCTCTTCGTTCGTTTAATGTACTAAAGTCGCTCTTGTCCCGAAGATCACACACATTTTCATCTACGGAAGTGATCAAATTTATCCATAAGTTTTTATTACCAAGCGCTCAGCCGATAGGGAATTGAATTTTAGAAAGGAAATGAATCAAAGCTTCAAATCTTGAAAATTTGAAGCCTGCACTTGCGAAACTGATGGCTTTTGGACCGAATGAGCTAGAGAGCATGATGAAACATTTTCATCTATGGAAGTGATCAAAGTTATCTATAAGTTTTTATTACCAAGCGTTCAGCCGATAGGGATTTGAATTTTAGAAAGGAGATGAATCAAAGATTTTGTTTCAAATTTTGAAAAATATATCTGGAATGTTGAATTAAAACATTCTTGATCACTAATTTGTACGAATAGAGGGCAAAAAAGTACTTGGGAGGCACTTACCCATTTTTCTGTTTTTAGAAGCTGTTGGTTCGACGAGGAGATAAAGATCGAAGAACCCCACATCCAGGCGGCCCACAGTGGGTCTAGTCAGTAGGAGAGGTTGGAAATAATTTTGAAACTTTAGCTTAACGAAGCTTATAACTTCGTTTATACAAAACTCTAAAGTCTTAAGTTTGGTTCCGTTGGTTTTCTCGTGAAATTTACTTCTAGAAACACACCTAAAAATTTGAAATGTGACGACATAAACAGCAAAATTTGCAGTTTTAGTCAAAAATTTCACGTCCGACCCCTCTAATTGACTCGATCCACTGTGCGGCTCCCGAAGACCAAGTGCCTCCCACCACTGCTGCTACGTGTATGATGGGGATATGCCTTTAGGTAGGTCAACTTTTTCACTTTACTTAATTATAATTTCAAAATATCGCAATTTTTTCCGTTGAAAAACGCTACTTGGATCATGGTATTCGAATGGCTTGCAATTTACTGCTTTTTCTAATTTAACACAAGATTATTTTTTTGAAGACATTGATTCTTATCTTAAATTTGGAAACAAGGTGAGAGTGGGGTCCTCGTTTGATGTTGGGTTAGGCCTAGAGTGTTTGCATTTTTTCCGGGGGTGGATTATCCGAGGCCTGGGAAGGAGCGTCTTCAAATCGGCGCGATTAATCAAGGCATGAAAAGCGTTTTCGCATGAACCTGGCTCATTTGTTAAATGCCCGATACTTACCCGCTCCCTCGGTCTCGGCCTCGACGATACGCATCGGCGCGCCGCGCCGTCCTAACGCACCGTCTCGTCTTCATCACAACGAATTTAACGCCCGCAATTTGCGCTTCGCGTCGACCTCTGCAGGCACCGCTAGATTTATTGCAGTCCTAACCTCCGAATCAGGCCGTCGCCAGGGGCACGAAATGTACGCAAGTGCGTGGAGCGCCAACCCTCGGCATGCCAAAATTTCTCGCACGTCTTTTTTATTGATTTAATTTTCAGAGATGTCTTCGTGTTTATTTTCTTATGTCTACTTCTCCTTCTTCTTCTTATATAATCTTCCTCTACGTTTCCGTCTCCTCCTTCTCCTCCTCCTCCTTCTTCTTCTTCTCCTTCTCCTGCTCCTTCTCCTTCTTCTTCCTCTTCTTCTTCTTCCTTTTCTACCGTTCCTTTTTCTCTTTCTCCTCTGTTTCGTCTTCATATCTGTCGCCTTCTTCTTTTCCGTCTTTTTCTTCTCCTTCTTCTTCTCCTTCTTCTTCCTCTTCCTTTCCTTCTTTTTCTTATTCGTCGTCTTCTTTTTTTTTCATATTCTTTTTTTTCATATTCCTCTGCTTCATATTACTCTTCATATTCTTCTTCCTCTTCTTGTTCCTCTGCTTCATATTTCTCTTCTTTCATCATATTCCTATTCTTCTTTTTCTTCATTGCCTGCTTTTCCGTCTTCTTCTCCGTCTTCTTCCTCTTCTTAATTATACTCTTCTTCTGATTCATCTCCTTCTTCTCAGTCATCTTCTTCTTCTTCATATCCCTCTTTTTATTCCTCTTTATTGCCCTCTTTTCCATCCTCTTATTCCTCCTTATATTTCTCCTCTTTCATCGTCTTCTTCTCCGTTTTCGTTCTCTCCTTCATGTTCCTCTTCTTCATCGTCGTCTTCATCGCCTTCTTCATCGTTTTCATTCATCGTCTTCGTCTTCTTCATCGTTTTCTACATCGTCTATTCCTCCTTCCTCTTCTTCTTCCTTGGTTTTTTTCCCAATAATTGGCCCATGTGCGGGTGAAGAAGGAGCGCCAAATTTGCTGTTTGCGAGGGTGACGATTCAGTCTCGCGACGGTCCCGCTCCGAATATTTCTCTCCTCCCATGCTCATTGGTGCTGTCAAGACATCGAATCTTATGGAGGAGAGCAAATTTTCTCCGTGAGCTGCAGTATTTTTTGTCTTCTTTTTCTATCCTCGTATTATTCTTGTTTTGACGAAATAGGGGTTGGATCCTCAAGGGAAAGTTTTCCCAGAAAAAAAACAAGACCCTATAAATTCACTAGATATTTTACATATTAGGTTCACGCTAGCGAAAACATGTAGCAGGATATCGGCGTCGCAAATTATCCGCTATTCTGATGTTTGAGAGTAGAACCGATCGATACATAACTCACCGAAGGCTGTGTGGATTTTCCTCCTTCGAATTCTTTTTACCCTTCCTGAATTCTGATATTTAGGCAGAAAAAATGCATCCCCAACTTTCATGAGGCCATTTTTTGCGAATCGATGTACAGTTTTGTCAGTCGTTGCTCTACATGGTACGAGTATTTGAATGTCTCTTAAAGCCCCAGTTGATTACTTTAAATATAATTCTCTTACATCATGATTCTATCATGCACCATTTTAGTTGCTGTAAAGACAGATTATATTTTCTAAGCAAGTCTAGTTGTCTCTAGGTAGCCCCAGGATTGTTTCCGTGTTTAGCAATTTTGGTAAAAACGAACCCTGCCCGACCTATGTTATGGTCTGCCTGATTCTTAGGGGGCTCATCTTAAATCGACCCCCAAAAAATTGACCAGACCTAGAATAACCACACGAAATGTCCATGTCAATGTAACAATTGTTTTAGTCTCAGCTGCTCTTGATTTTCCCATGCGACAAAATTCTGCTCAAAATACATTATATGAAAAGGACAAATTTTATAAGTATGAATCGACCGTCTCTGACCACATCCAATTACGCTTCATAAAAAGACGGTTCTGCCACCTTCCATAAACTCTATTTCTATATCCTTGCACGCTCTCGGTATATAAAGGCTAATGTACAGATTGAAACTAAATGGCGCGACGTGGCGGCCAAGGTCACGGGGTGTGCGTGTCGATGTGTTGCATAACCAACAAATTGAAGGCAATTTTTCACCGGGAACAGTTTTCGTCGTATTGCAAACAGCTCACTGTCACAATACTCATGAAAAACGTGAAAAATACATTAGATTCTTGTAAACCGATTTTACTCAGAAGAAATCTTATAGACATACATCAAGAGTCGAAACATTTTAACTCTTTCTCTCTGGAGAGAAAAATCAAACTCAAGGAGACTTCTTTCCATTTTCCCCTGCCAATAATAATTACCGTCCCGGCAGCAAATGCTAACCACGGCATTAAGACGGAATCCGTTTTAAAACCGTGTCACCGTGCCATCAAGTTGACAATAGCCGCTCCAATTTTCAGCACCGCTCTTTTTCGGCAGCAAAAATATTCAGGATACCAACTCCTCTCTCCCCTCCATTCCCGATACCGGCACCTCATGATACCTCGGATTTTGAACATCCTCCTGAATTACGGGGCACATCAATGTCTGGGCGGGCGTTGCGGGGCGGTGGGGGGCGAGGATTGATGACAAGAAAAGAGAACCCCTATTTATTCATTCAAATGAATTCAGAATCACGAACAGAAGTAGCGGAGCCCGACAACGAAATCTTAAATTTCGCGCGTTGCCGACTCGGATGTTTTTCGCGGCGGATTTCGGGGATGGAGTGAGGGCGTTTGATTCATCAGGCGCCATCGGTTGCGGTGTCGGAAGATAAGACCGGATCCCCCTCGGAAGTGTCGAGAGGGCGGGGACCGGGCGGGGACGGGGTGGGGGATCCTGTGAATAATTCAGGGAGCTCCTTCTTGTGTGGCTTTTCATAAACCCGAGAGGATCGTTTTCCGAAACCAGTCACGCGACGCTCTCGCAATTGACTTATTTTCCCACCAGGCGGCGCTGTTGTCGAGTTGATGGCTCGGCCGCCAAAGATGGACACTCCTTCCTTGGGAAATTTGTCAAATTACCTTACACCGAAAAAAATGGATTCATGATTTGACAAGTATATTGTAAAAAAATTTTGGCGTACCCCAAAATCGTTTGACGTGCATAAAGAAACCATAGATATTGTCGTCTATGCAAATTTTGAATGAAATCGAACAGATAGATTCTGAGATATCGCTGCACTCAGATTTGGGGGACGCCGGACGGAAGGACACATATTTTTTCAAGTTTGGTTATTTTGACTCCTAGGACCTTAAAACGTCCAAAAATGATGAAATTTCAACTTTTTTTTTCCTTGCAGGATGACAATACTTCCTCTACCCTAGAGGAGCGAGAAAGTAAGATATTCGACATGTTTCAAATGTATACATTTGACAAATGTGGAAAGCTAATTTAATTCTTGGGGGTGGCTAAATTAGCATTTTATGGTTGTAAAATGTACGTTGAAACATGTCGGACACTTTTTTTAACTACTAAATTGTTAGCAATATCATTTTTTTCCGTGTGAAGTGATTTTTTACTTTTTGAAGAACGATTAGACAGTCGACTTTTAGAACGCTTTCTCAGAATTTCCGAGCATCACGCAGTGGTATGTCAGGTATTTTTTTTCACAAAATTTGATCCAGAAAAACTTTGAAAAATTACAAAACTACGTCCTGAGGGAGTAGCAAACGGTTTTGCCTTTTGATGTGCGAATCACTCGAAGCTTTAGAACTAATTCAAAATATTTCTCGGTCAAATATGGTGTGCAGATACCTGAAGCACTGCAGCTAATTACAGAACAGTAATTTGATCATTTTCCTCTCTCCATTTCTTCTTCTATTTTTTTTACCTGAGAGAGAGAGAAAAAAAATTCTTGCATAATACAAAATGTAAGTTGAGGTAGGCTGAGCCTCCATCCAGGGGGCCTGTAGAGATTAGGATCTAAAAAGAGGTTTCAAAGAACATTATAGAACATTAAGGATTGTAAAAGAAGAGCAAATTCAGCTGACAAACGGTAGGGTTGATATGCGCATGTACCATTTTTCAAAAAAAAATCTAGCTCTAACCTAAAATTACATTACTTTGTCGATTACATGAACTTCTAAAGACCTCGCATGATTCAAATAAAATCAACGTAAGAAATATGAGTATACATTCCGACACATAAAAATCATAAGTAAAATACATAAGTATACATACAAATCTTATACATTTACAAATTGTCAAGTTGAAAATAAGTCAACATTTAAGTAAAATTTGAAATTGCGAATTGAGGCAACCTTAAGGGGGGAGGGGGGCTTGTTAAAGCTAATTAAGCTTCAACCAGATATGTCTCCGTGGTAACAAAGTTCTATTTACATACGCATTGTAAAACTATAAACCTGTGTGAATAAAGTCATACCCACATTAGTATTATGAATGTAATTATTATTATGAAGTTGTTTAGTAATTTAATAGTTCTGATTGTTGCTAAATGTAAGCAACAAAATTTATTTTTGTTTGACGGTTTTTCTCGTTGATTTTAATTTCTAATTTTCTCTGAGAATCACAGGTTGCTCGTTCCGGCGCTTCTCCGAAAGTTTGGCACCTACCCAAAAGATTTAGGCGCACCCGAAAATGCG